GGAAAGATACAGGTTTCTCACCAACTAGGAATAGAGAGACTAAATGTGGGCATATGGTTAAACTACAATGCATCTTCACATTTGTCCAACACATTTACAAGAAAAACACCATTGGGAAACCTCACAGGACAGAAGTGTTTTAACACCAAGAGAACTACTAGTTTTTAATTAAAAATTCAAACAGGGTGGGGTTGAAAAAATTTGGAAAGGGGCTGGAGCTGGAGCCACCATTTTTTTAAAATTATTTTTCAATATAAAATGAATGAGCTGGAATAGACCCAATGTCCTTACACTGTGGAACCTGGCAAAAGTGAAGAAACGTTGAAGGGTTATTTAGGGCAGCTGGCTGATGTCAAAGCTGCCAGAATGCTAATTAACTGCAGGCTGAGTCTCTTACTTCTGTGTGTGTGTGTGTATATATATGTATATACATATATATACATATATATGTATATATATATAAAGGAGCCTTTTGTATTATGGCATTTTTTTCTTGCTGCTATATTCATACATCCCACTGCAAATCATCTTTCATTTTTCATTCTGTTGACCTGGATATTATTATTTCTTTTCAGAAACAGGGAAAAAAATCAAACATCTGTGTCTCCTTCCAATATGCTACACATGTGCACATTTTGTAGCGGGTCTTCAAAGTTCAGTTAGCAACCCACAGACGCCATTCATCTTCTTGTTAAAATGTCTACCGCTGTAGCCAATGCTCATGCCCTTGAGAGTTTTCCTCTTTTTTTTCCCATTATTTTATATAAAGAACATTGTGACTTTTAGTATTAGCATTTTTGCTTTCAACAGCAATTAGCAATCTCTTGGTTTGCTGTTTGGTAAAGCATCGGTTAATGAGGTCATCTAGTTTAAAATCCCAGCTACTGGAAAATAACAGGGAGGAGGTCAAATCTATCTTTTCATGTTATATTCTCTGCTCTCTTTTCAGTTCTCTAAGGAAAAGATATCTTTGTTATCCACAATAAGTCATTACGACCCGTTACTGGCCCTTTGTTTTACTAACGCCTCAAGATACAGTCAGGTTCTCTCTTGCTGAAGTACTGAAATAGGATAGTTCATCTATAAACAAACAAACAAAAAAACAACTTTGAGCATCTGAGGATGAGGAATTGGTTTTGTGTTGGTTGTGTTGTCTTTCCTCCGACAGTTCTGAGTTCATGTCTAGCGAGGGGTTGTCTCTATGGTAGAAGGGGTCCCCGGGGTGGTCGACCTCGGGGTGGCTGCTGGTGGTGTGTCCATCGGGCTCCCGGCCCCGCTGTTGGGCGTGACGGAGGAGCTGACTGCAGGTGCGTCCCCCTGCTGCTGGGCCTGCAGGGTCTGTCCACAGATGTGGTGGTGCTTCTCCCAGTCTTTGTGCTGGCAAAATGAGCCACAGTATCGGGCTGTGTTACAGCCACTGCAGGTTTCACTCGCTTTACGACCACAATTCCAGCAACTCTAAAGGATAAGGCAGAAGAATGCAAAATCCCAAATTAATACATTGTCCAGGCAAAAGTGTGATGAAATATGTTAAGTAGCACTGCCTCTTTATTTTTAAGAACTATACAGTAAGAATGAAAAATCCAGTTGTATGTGTTTCTGTGTGCACCCACTAAACACACAGAAGATGCAGGTTTTGGTGTGATGATTGCCCAAACTTTTCAGTCAACAGCTATCATGATGTCTAAGAAACTGGCTGAAGCTCCTTTCCATTTTTACTGTAAAATCCCTTGTTTTTAGGTTTGGCTATTTTCACATCTAAATTCTCTCTTCATCCATACTAACAATTGCCTATCTGACTTTTTTTCTCTTCTAATGCCAACACCACCATGGTCAGACACAAACGTATCACTCCTGGCAGAAGCTTCTTCCTTCTAGATACTAACAGGAATCACAAAGGAACTCCAAGAACCCTACATTAGGTTCAAAGAAATATAATGGAGTAGATAGAGGATCCTCCTCCCTGCACCACCACAGACTGGAGAGAGTGAGGCCGGGCACTTTCACCTCTCCATGAGTTAGTTCTTCCCACTGCAATCAGTTATGTATTCAGAGTACCTGACATCCAAATGCCAGGACAATCTCAAAAAAATGCCCTTTACCTCCCTAGAGGGAAGGATCGTTGGTTTGTTTTTTCTCTGATATATTCGAAGCACCCAGAACAGTGCCTGATATATAGTAATTGCTCAATAAATATTTGTGAAATGACTCACACTATGCCCAATTTGGCTTTGAAAAACTAGAAATACTAAACTGGGTAAACAGTAATGCTATTTGCATACAATGCTTTCCAGCTGATGGAGTTCCTTTGCATCTCATTTGCACCTCAGCAACCTTGGGTAGTCATAGAAGTGGAGGAAACTAAAAACTCAGACCTGAGTGAGCCCACTGCCAATCTCTGGTGAGAAAAGGCCAAATGAGATTGCCTCTGAGATTTAAACTTTGAGATAAACGCATCATGAATCAGAGCACAGACATACCAGAGACAGAAGAGCACCTGCGTAGGGTAGATCCAAGGGAAGGAGGGAGGGATGGGGAGGAGCCCAGGGACGACAGTGCCCTTGGGTCCTTCCAGGAGGAGGCGAAACCTCAGGAAGTTAACTTTCAACCTTTGCGGTTCTTTCGGCAAGACCATCCTCATTGTGAAATGCTTTATCAAGTGACCTTAGCTTTGGTTTTGTACTGCGAATCTTTTTATTCTTTATCTTCCTTGGTTTTGATTATATTCTTGCAAAACAAACTTCTAACCATAATCTGGTAACCCCAACCAGCTAACGGTGTGTGGTGTGTCACAATTAAAACACATTTTTTAAAGCCCTGATATATGTGGATATTAACAATCTCCCCACTATGTTCCCTGTAATTCTTTTGGTTTTCAGCATGCTTGTGTACAGCTTAAGATGGCTCAAGAGCAGACTGAAAATACCCCAGTGGAACATCGGCCCATCAGCCCGGTATGCATGGCTGTACCACTGTGCAAAATACACAGTGGAATTTTTGGCAGTCATCCTAATTTTGCTAATAAATAAAGGGGCTCCTAGAGTCTTTCAAGTGCTAGAAGGCCGTAAACTCAAGAACTCTGGTTTAAAACTTTTCGAAAGAGCTCAGCTCTACAGTCTTATTTCTTTACCATTCAGAAATTATGGCCCAGTGAAGAGGGGGAAAAACTAACAACTTAAGATCTCAAAAACTCTGGTCAATGGGAGGTGTTTTAAATGAATATAGCTGAGGAAACGTAAAAACTTGGTTTACATGTTAATATCATAAATAAAAATGTAATTAACATTAATAGTGAGTACCAGAACAAAGTAATTTTTTCTACATCGATTTAATTTAATCAGGAAAATATCTCAAAAGATGTGCACCTCCAATCAGAGGCTTCATTAACATAACTAGAAGCCCTTATCTCTCCAAATTAATTCAATCTCATTGCAGGTATAATGTTCTACAAAGAAGTGAACAAAGGTGGGCCTGGCCCATCCGTCAGAGCAGTGACGTACAACACTGGGCACTCAGTGAAGTTTACTTCCTCGAGATTTAGGCATGTAGAATAATGCCAGCTGGATCCTGGAACAAACTCAGCAAATAAGCAAAATTCCTAAATTACATCAGAAAATCCCAATTAGAGAACAGAGACCCAGATTCAAAACAATGTTTTAAGGAAATTAAACATCTAATCTGAGTCAAGTGGCTTCTTTAGGAAATTCCCTGGTGTGAGTTCTATCCTTTTTCTGTCAGAGGCACATTTTGGCAGACACAAGACTGGAAAGTGCCCAATATTCAACGGCTCCATCAGATTGAAATCAGATGTAGGCAACGTTCTCAATTTAAGCTGATTAAACACACAGACTAAACCAGGTAATTACAAATGCATGTGTTAGGGAGTGGAAAGAGGAGACAGCACGGGGACTTCTTATTTTTTAAAGTGTTTTCAAAGATGGGAACAATTTTACAAATAAAACAGTGGAATTATGCCAAATATAGAAACAGATGTTTTGGATCGCAAAGCTCCTGGGAACTGAGCCTTCTTGCCTGGCATGGCTGGGTTCTGACCCAGGATTCAAGGGCTCTGGCTAGTTTTACCTCTAGTCCCATTCCCAAGTTGTTCGATCCTGTTCCTTTACCACCTACACTGGGACAAAAACATCCTGCAGCTGTCAGAAGGTACAACAAAGAGGAATTCAAATGAGCTGGTGGGAAAAAACCTACATATTTTTATTGCCCTTGATATTGCATTGCATGAACATGCAGGGAACTTTGGCACAATTATTCAACCAAAAAAAACCCTCCAAAGTGCACATTCCTTTTTAAAAGCTCATTAGAAAACAGACAAAGCAATTTCTATTAATATATTTCTCTTGGATGATTCTACCGTTGGCTAATCTGTACCTACAAGACTGGCGCCTCACCGGCAGCACTGAGCTCCTCAGCAATCACACCACTGGGAAGAGCAGAATGTGGACTCTTGTGAGCACTCTAATTCAGATCCTTTCAAGCTTCTAAGTTCGTAAGCTTTATGCTCTTTTCAAAGGTGGAAATTGCAAATTGTGTACAAAACCCAGAGGTATAACCATAAAGGCAGAGATAAAGATGGTCAATGGCTTAATCTAATTTTACATTTTTCAAATTTGTGCTTTTTATACTCAGGCTAGTGTTTCCTGGTAGTTGCTCTATTTATTTGTTATTTATTTTATTATTTTTTAAATAACTGAGCTTCCCTTTCAGTCCTCTAAGGAATGATGCTGGTGACTGAATTACCACAATAATGTCGAAGGCTCAAGAACACCATTTCATAGCAAATTCCATTCCCAAAGCTCATGGCAATTTATGGTCTTCCCTTATTTGTGATAATATATTCCATTTTTGGCATAAAGAATATTTTCTTCCCTATCTGAAAAATGGGAATCAGTCCATTGACCAAAATTAGGCTGTGTCTCAGATGAAGAATATGAGGCTGAACACAACCCTCCCCCTTTGCTAAATGTACTAATACTACGGATGGAAACCAAAATGACGAATCAAAGCTTCTGAATGCCAGAGCTACGTGTCCAAGATTGTCGATACTTTGTTTGACATCAGCAATCTCTTCATTATTTCCTTCATCTTGTTATTTTAGATATGCAGAGAATGGTCTTTCTGCCCTACTGACAAAAGATATTCTTTCTGGATCTTACTGGTGGAAATCACTTTTCCAAGAAACAAAATTTTAAAAAGATATACAGATGGCCAAAAGGTATATGAAAAGATGCTCAACATCATTAGCTATGAGGGAAATGCAAATCAAAACTGCAATGAGGTATCACCTCACTCTGGTCAGAATGGCTATAATTAACAAGGCAGGAAACAAGTGTTGGAGAGGAAGTGGAGAGAAGGGAACCCTTGTTCACTGTTGGTGGGAGTGCAAACTGGTGCAGCCACTGTGGAAAGCAGTATGGAGTATCCTCAGAAAATTAAGAATAGATCTACCATATGATCCAGCTATCCAACTGCTGGGTATTTATCCAGAGAACTTGAAAACACAAAGGCATAAAGATACTTGCACCCCTAAGTTCACTGCAGGATTATACACAATAGCCAAGACTTGGAAGCAACCTAGGTGCCCATCAAGGGATGAATGGATAAAGAAGATGTGGTATATATATATATATATAAAATGGAATACTACTCAGCCATAAGAAATTATAAAATCTGGCCATTTGTGACAACATGGATGGACCTTGAGGGTATTATGCTGAGTGAAATAAGTCAGAGGTAGAAAGTCAAATACCGTATGATCTCACTCATAAGTAGAAGATAAAAACGACAAACAAACACATATGGGGCCGGCCCAGTGGTGCAGTGATTAAACTTTGCACATTCCGATTCTCGGCAGCCTGGCGTTTGCCGGTTCAAATCCCGGGTGCGGACATGGCACTGCTTGGCAAAAGCCATGCTGTGGTAGGCGACCCACGTATAAAGTAGAGGAAGATGGCCATGGATGTTAGCTCAGGGCCAGTCTTCCTCAGCAAAAAGGAGGAGGATTGGCAGTAGTTAGCTCAGGGCTAATCTTCCTCAAAAACCAAAAAACAAACACATAGCATTGGAGATTGGATTGGTGGTTACCAAGGGGGGGGGGGGGGCAAAAGGGGTGTTTATGCTCACATGTAAGGGGATGGTCTATAATTAGTTTTTGGGTGGTGAACATGATGTAATCCACACAGAATTTGAAATATATTATGATATACATCCGAAAAATAAATTAATTAATTTTTAAAAAGTGGAAAAAAAAAAATTCTCCTGTATTACTTTAAGTTTCTTCAGGTCTTATGCACCTATAATTCTCCAGAAAAACCCTTGCACACAATCAATGCTCAATAAATTAAACAGAATAATTATAATTAAAATTCCCAAAATGTAAAGAACTCTACAGAAGGCAACACATTGACTTAAATTCATATTAAGTTCACAACATCTTATAT